TATCCCACTGTCCTCTCCTCTCTCCCTCCACTCTCCCCTGTAAGCCCATAACCAGCACGTACCTGCGGGGCCGGCAGACAGACCCTTCGCATACCATCCGAGCCTGAGTGTAGGCCGGTGTACTTGGGGTCGTGCACGGCCGGGTGCATGGAAAAGTGCTGCTTGCCGTTCATGGTCATCATCCTCCTCCTTGCAAGCGCCTCGCGAGCAGTGTGGCCCGTGACATGAAAGCCGGGCAGGGGGCAGCTTCAGATCTCAGAGCTCCTCTGCTCTCCTTCACCGGACTGAGCTGTTGCCAGTGGCGGCACCTCCCGGCATCACCCCACCCCACCCCAGCCCTTCCTTCTTTTTCACCCTCCACCTCCCCCTCCTTTCCTGCCACTTACTCCTCTTACAAGTTGCAAAATGTTGTCCTGCGTGGGCAGGTGTCGAATAAATGCAACAGAATGGAGGCAACGGGAATGCCAAACTGTTACATATCGACGCAGTTAAAACATAAATGACAGGAATACTGGGACATATTTGTTATATACATCGCCGTAGGCCATCGCCAGATGCACCGACTCAGATCTAGACTAAAAACGGGTCAGTCTGGCACATGCATTTTATGTCTCCAATTTACATTTGCATTTTAAACCTAACGATTCCTGACAATATCCTATAAAAACTCATAGAGCCTCAAGAAACAAACAAGTGTATTTTTAGAAGATGTCAAGAATAATATAATCTTTCTCCACCTAAATATCTGAATGCATTCACAGAACGCTTTTGTTTCCCCTTTTATTTAGTCGTTTTGACACCTTTTAAAACAGAGTTGTGCGTTGTTTGTGTAAATCCCATGTAGGATACAGGTGTGTCCAGCTTTCAGTACCACGGAGAGCGAAGATTTGACGCTCCACCGTGTTTTGCGCTGTCCGTGGTACCGAAGGAACTGAAAATGGCGTCATCTAAACACACGGGTGTTTTATTATTCAATATAGTACAGTGTTAGCTATGGAGTCCTCACACAGTTTCTATAGGGCTAAAGTTGATTTCAGTTTGAACACCCGCCCCTGATGTTCAGGCTCCTCAGGTGGTTGCCTGGTTTAAACCCACGTAGCGGTGGTGGACAGGCCGAAAGGAGAGCCCGGCGGGCATTGGAGGACTGATGACACCGCAGGTTTACCTGATAGCGCCGTCCGCCTCTCTAGTTCTCCAGACTCTGAATAATTTACCAGTACGATGGCAGGCATCCATTACCACGTTGGCATGTTCTTATTCATTACGGAGATTAAAGAAGCCTGGGACTTTTTCTCACTGTAGCTGTTATAGGTCTGGGCTTCTCTGAGAAAATAGCCCTAACACTGAATAATGACATTTAAAAATCGGCGCAAACGTGACTGTTTAACTTTCGTTCAGCTGCAGGACGCCGACTTTGTGACTGTTTATAGTAGTTAAACTTTATGAATAAATCATATATAAGCTTTTGTCACCTGCTTCGTTTCATAGATTGTATATACTGTAGTTGGCAACGTTCTTAATTGAACCGAGTTTACAGCTCTGTCATCTCTGCACTTTTCATGCTGTGAATATTTTATTTCACTTGTCGCGAGGAGTGCTGTCAGACAGTACATGTACCTTAATGTAACTGTACCTCTAAAGTTCTTTTGTCTGAGGAGTCCCACATTCTATTACAGTAGCTTTAGATATTGCATTACTATGTTATCATAATCAATATTGATTGATTAAAGATAAGGCTTGTGACCTGGTGGTGCCCCATCTTTTCATACTGGGACGGATCTGGACTGCAGGCAGGAGAGTCATGAACACAGAGAGACTCTATTGTGGTTTTGGTAGAATGATGTAACATAGAGATTCAATAAGAAGCAGTAGGTTCTTGTCATTTTGGGTTGTTATTGAGCACATTTTCCTGACCAATATCTCCATATAAATCCAAATAATGATTGATTATTTGGTCCCATCTGTGTTCCCAGTTATTACGCTGCTACATAATGTCGTCTGACTGGAACCAATCATCCCACCCTATCCTGAATTCCTTCCCCTGAGGAAAGCCAAAAGCTCTTGCAGGGAACTAAACAGACCCTAAGTGTTTTCACTTGACTTCCCAAAGTAAGAAATGTTCTTGCATTATTCAGTGATGTTTTAATATGTTATAGTTACTGGGTGCTGTAATTAAAGTGTAAGTGTCACTCTTGGTGATGGGATTCAGTTGGGGCAATGGATGGAGTGAGTGAAACAAATATAAGGCCATTGTTTAAAAATACTGAGCATAAAAGTATACCGGAATCTAAACTGAAATATATTTATAAAATGACTCGTCAATTCCCGCTGTAACTTCATTAGTGTTTGAATGTTGTCTGTTGGTGCGTTCACGTGCAATGACGCCGTTACCGTTTCCAATTTCTTATTCTACCCGTTTTATGTAAATGATACATTTTTGTAAAAAAAAATATTGTAAATATGTACGCTAGGTGGCGGCAAAGTAACTTAACTGCAAGTGTGATTATATACACATGATCTATTAACCTTAGCAGCAGCAATCATCAAAAATCTAAGAGTAGAAGAATAAATGAGACCACACAAGAGATTTATGGTGATATTTTCTGGAATGCTTTTGCTTGACTTTTCTACCCAATCTTGCCAATGTTGACTTTTTTCTTTTTTTCTCGCTTTTTTTCTTTCTCTTTTTTTCCCACTACCAAGTCCAATTCATATTGTATTTTTTCCTTCTTTTCTGTTTACTTTACAAGCACCCCATTATCAATCTTTATTGGCAAAAGCAAACATGCTTGTAAATTAGAAATCCTTTTTTTCTTTTTTCTTTACAAACAAAAGACATGGAGAAAATACATACACATCCTGCAAATATAAACAGTAACAAATCCAAAACTATTATCCAATAAACATTTTACAACTTTTTACACTATCGTTGTGAGAAGCAGACAGAGGGTAGTAGAAAAGTGTTGAGCTGTACTTTCTCTGTTTCCTTAAATCACACAAGCAAAAAATCCTGCAGGAACAGGTTTATCAGTTAAAACTACTGCTGACAAGTACGTAAAACATGACTGCCAATCGTGTGCAAATGCATTGTCAGCTTTCCTACACACACACACACACGTGAGCTCCTGTCAGGACTGATGTAATGGGTAGTGATTTTTGGAAGTCTTAAATGTGATCATTTAAGCTGGTGTCAAAATAGAAAGAAAACTAGAACGATACCAAAACTGTGGGAGGAAGGGAAAAAATAAGAAAAGCCCTGAATGAATTTCCATGCAGGGAGCAACGAACAATGAATACAGTTTTTATTTCTTATTAAATAATCTGGCCTTGTTGAAATGTTTCATTAAAATTATGACAGAAGTCAAAGGATTCATTTAATTAAAAAAACTTGTCGTGAATGAACGTCAATAAACAGTAATTTGGTCTTACAAGAAAATGTTCTCTTTTGGATTTAACAACAAAAATGCATCAATAACAGTCAGAGTGTTATTCCTGTTATTCCTCCCTCCCACAGTATTTCAGCGTGTAACAAGACAGAACAACTGTTAGAGATAAATGCGATGTTTTTAACCGCAGACACAAGCAGCTCCGAACGCTCTAATGATGAATGAACAGAAACAAACCACTTTTACGACGCGTGTAAATAACCGTGCGACATAGTCTGAACAGTTATAGTGGGACGGGGATGGTGAACACTGTGGATAAGAAAACAAAACCTGTTACTAAGGTGTGAATGAGGGCTGTACAGCAGTAAGTTCCCTCTCGAGCAGTTACAAAAATCTACAAAAGTAAATCACAAGTTGTGTAAAAATGTTCAGCCGTCTGCTGACGTCGTAAGGCAAAGAAATAGAATAAATTCAGTATTACATTCAGACGCTTGTCTATTGATCTCATGGGGTTTTTTTGTATGATCTACTCCTTGTCCTGCCAGGTGACAGAATAAAAACCAAAGACAAATAAGAAAACATGTTTGACAGTCTTAGGAAATAGTAAACACCCATGTGGGTGTGTGTGTTAACACAAAGTGGCACTAAAAATAGAGTTTCACACATGAGAAGGGTATAGTGTGGGGGGGGGCGGAGGGGCAATCACTACAAGACTGTATCTAAACTGCATGGACTAAGCATCTGTAAACAAGTTGGTTAGTTGGTTTTTATTGCACTGGTTTGCTATTGTACCTGCGCCGGCTTCTCTAGAGTTACCGTGCAGTGTCTGCACCACGGAGAGCCAGTGGTACAGTCTTGACTGTGTTCCTGCCTGCCAAACATAACATCTGTCAGAAATATTTTACATCTCCTGGTGAAAGAAATATAAAAAAGAGAAGAGAGAAACTTTGCCATACTGTGCCAATATACTTGGGTACAACACAGTGCACGTTTTTTTGCAGTGGAAAAATAAATAGTCATCTCTCTGGCAGCAGCAGAGAACGTTTTATCAATAATGGAATGACTGTCCCTGAAGGGCAAGGACGAGAATTCTTTTTTTCTTTCAAAAAAACTGTTGAGAAAAGACTTTAAATACAGTATGTATAAAAATACCTATTCACAGTAGACACAAATGTTGTGCATTACTGATATTAATCATCTGGTAAGCACACTCGAACTTATTTGTTTTTTTCCTCCCCTATATTTAAGAACAAATTAACATTTATCTTTTCTCAGCAAAAGTGAGACGTATTAAATAATTTACTTGAGGGGTTAAAAAAAAAAAAGTCAACCCTCGAGAATTCCTGTGATATACAATAAAGATGTTTTGTCTAAAATTACTTCAGCTTGAAAACACTGGAAGAAAAAAAAAAAAGAAAGTTGATTTCTATCTCGACGATATCATCTTCACTAGAGGGAAATCGACTGTTAACATCGCCGGAGAGCGGTCGATGACAGAGCGCGACTTCTTCACCGTCTCCAGGATCGGCTCTCGTACTCGTCGTCTTCATCCTCGTCCTCCTCTTCCTCTTCTTCTTCCTCGTCACCATGCAAATAAGAGCTAGCTTCCTCCTGGTTAAAGCAGAATTTTTATTATTTACATATTATTATTATTATTATTTTTTACTACAGATTGTGCAGAAGTCCTGCATTCTGTTGAGTGATCAGGAGGGGGCACCCACTGGTTGCAGAACAACAAAGGAATGCCTATCAGTTAATGTAGTGCTGGGCGTATTTTTTGATGTAGTTATGGCTTCATAAATAAAGGAGTCAGAGTTGTGTCCCAGCAGGTTGTTGTTGAACCAGCCCTGCTTTGAACTCTGTGGTCCCACTGGTGCTTTTTTTACCCAGTGCCACTCTGCTACTGCACACACACCTGTGCTAGTCTAAGAAACCACAGCCATGTGTGGCTGGTTACACCGTGACGTCCTGAAGGTGTATTATTTACACTCTCCTGGCATTCATTTGCATTTATATCTGAGCTTCTACCACCGTGTACCACCAAGGGATGGGCAGGCCTAAGTTGAAAGTGTTAATTTATGCGATATTTGCACAATGGCTTATTTATTGAAGGGAACAAAGCCAACCAGTGTATAAACCTAATCCCACTGGATTGGCTTTATTGGATCTTCTAAAATTCATTTTGTAAAGAGACTTTAAGTCGCACCCCCACAGTGCTTTCTTATATAATAATAGTGAATGAAAGTAAGTGCTAATTTAGTAGGAAACATATGGCATAAGGCCACACTGGTGTTCAAGTTTCCATTACTGGTTGATCTTTCCGTATGTGGTTGGCATGTTCTCCAATCTAACATGGTTAATAGGAGAATAAGTTGTATGGACACTCTAAATTGACTGTAGGTATGTCTGTGAGGGTGAATGCGCCCTGTAATGGACTGGCGAGCTGTCCAGGGTGTGTCCCTCCCTCGGCCACAGACAGCTGGGATTGGCTCCAGTGGCCCCGGAAGGGAATAAGTGATACATAATGAATGAATGGCTTGACGTCTTGAATTAAATAGTTGAGTAAAACTTTAAAATCTGCTTACATTTTCGTGCCGTGGGTTTGTGTTGACGTTGCTTCGTACCTTGTTTTCCTCATCTTTAGACTCTTCTTCCTCAGGCTCTGTAGTAACTGATGGCGTTTTCGGCTTGTACCAGGAAATTTGAAGCACTCGACCTTTGAACTTCGCCCCCTGGTTAGCTGCCTGTAGAAGCATTAGGTGTATTTGGTAAAAAAAATGTAGAAATGATTTCAGCATATCAGGGACTTAACCCGATGAGTTAGACTTGACTCACATTCTCTGCTTCACTTCTCGTCTTGAAAGTCATGACAACACTGGTGGCGTCTTGGTCGCGGAGATCCTCGATCTCCCCAAATTTCTACGATTAAACCAAACCAGAAACTTCAGCTAACCCTTTAACAGTTATTCAAATCTGTACGTACCAGTTTGTCCTCAGTTCTTACCACAAAATGGGGCATTAGCTCTTCCTTTTCCTCAGGGGTGACCCCCAAAATAGCGAGGGCTCTGGGTCTGTGGTCCACCACCATGCGGTTCACAGCCCCACCGCGGCCCATCATATCCCGGGATCGACCCCTTCCGCGACCGACATGTGCAGAACCAGGCTCAAGTGCCATCTTTCCGCGCCCCCGGCCACGATTTGATGGAGGTCGAATCAGACCCAACCGTGTGGCCTAAAAAACAAGAAGGAAAAAAGATTTCTCAAAGAAATCTGCTAGATCTATTGCACAGCACAAAGGGACAAATTAATTTGCATCTTTCCTACTTAGGTACTGTGAGTATTACCTCGACTTGTAGCAACCCAAGTTTTCTTTTGAGGTCGGTTGTGTCTTCTCCAGAGCTCATCTTCTTGTGAATGTCCAGCTCTGCATCCAGCAATTCCTTCTGAGCCTGGTCACATATATGGTAAACAAGAAATTGTTGTTATTTCACTATCATGGACGCCCTTCTGTCTCGTGGCAAAAGGGACTGAAACTTACATCAATCTTGGACTTAGACTGGTTGTTGTTGGACTTAATGCTGGAGACCTGAGAGGCCAGATTCATTTCATTCTGCAGCTGGGCAATTTTGTCGGTCAGCTCTTTTAGGGTCTTCATGATATTCGCTCTCTCCTCAGGCTTCATGGTTCGGTTCTTCTCCAGACGATTTATCAAGGCCTAAAAGACAATCAGTGAGGCAAGTGATGTGGTAGAAGCAGGTACGACAGAGTCTGAGTGAACTGTGCACTGGGCAAAAATTCAGTATGTCTTACTTTCTGACACTCGATCTGCGTCTTCAGCATCTCTTGTTTCTTCTTTCTCCTAGCCTGCTGAAGTTTTAATGCCTCCTACATGACAAGAAACACAGGAATTGACTAAACACATTTATACAATGGAGGGGAACAAAACAATTCCAGGTTTTGTGTCCATCTTTTTTGAGTGTCAAAAAAAAAAGTGTTATTCTTGTAATAAACAAACCTGTTTCTTCTTGAGGGCTTCCTGTGCTTCTAGCGCTTTTCCCGTTTTCCCAAGGCTTTTCGAAGACGACTTGAGGGCCGTGGAAACGTAGGGACTCTTCTGAGTATTTGGCACTGCAGGTGCCGCCTGGTTCCCACAAAAGAGAGAACGAAAAGTTTATATAGTTTGTCAAGATTTTAAAGGTTCTGGACTTCTTCTTGTACCCTACTGCGTAAAATGGCGTTGACTATGTTTAGTATGTATGAGCTGTAATGTTTGACAACATACAGTGGCAGCCTCTGTGTTTGTGTTGAGGGCGTCTGGTTTGGTTGTGGCTGTTGTCCCAGCTACTGGCGGCAGGCGATGCTTTGGTAAAGTCTTGTTTAAGACGTACGCAGCTGGGTTGTGCTGTTTTATTCCCTGCAGAAGAAGAAATTGAGTCAAATTGTTGAAGTGCATAAATATATACAGTATATAGAAAGACTTCAAACGTTACAGCTCTTTGTGCCAACCTTATGCACTGCGCCGTGCTGCGTCCCCTGGCCGGGAGCTGCTCCGGCTGCCTGGTTCCCTGGGGTTTGCTCCTGCTGCTGAACACCTGTGTTGTTGGTGCCGGTCTCACGGTGCCAGTACACACGGATGAAGCGGTTGTTGAGCACAGCTTCGGTGCTGGATATGGCGCGTCTGGCCTCTTCGTTCTTAGTGTACTGAATCAAAGCTGCTTCTGGATCGCCACCAAACACAACCTGAGGTTGGGGTAAAACAAAAGCATGTCGGTGCATGTCCGATGGTGTTCAAGGAAACAGCTGATACAGTTGAACAGATACTGTACTTAAGTTGTACCTGAATATTGACAATAGTCCCGAACTTGCTGAAGTGCTCATTGAGCTTGGTGATATTATTCAGCTCGCGAGGGATCTTGCGCACTTCCAGCTTGGTGTTGACATATTGAATCCTCTTCGGAAAATTGCTCTTATGCTGGTTGTTGAAATTTGTCCTGACATGGTGAAAAAATGAACAAAAATGTTTTCAGAACAAGATAAAAAAAACCTGTTTGTTAGATAAGGCTGTTATTATTTGGACAGAGTCTTACTTTTCCATCCAGGGTTTCTTAGCACCAGGTCCATCAGCTGCACTATGTCCCATTGTCCTTTTCCTGTTGTCCTGGTCAGCATTTAAAGAGGAGGCATTATTTCCAGTGTTGGCTGTAGAGACTGGTTCTGTCTGGATCACGATGTTTGCAGCTGGAAGATATATAGAAATATAAAAAAAGAAATAATTGATAATGATTTATATCCTACATTGAACAACTTTGCATAAAGTGTAATGTGTAGTGTAATTAGCCAAACAAATTACATCATGTGTTAAGACTATTTAAACTTGGGAGACATGGTTACCTCTTGATCCTTGACCTTCATTGGAAGTGAGACCGATTAGATTTGGCCGCTGCGTCTGTATTCTGGGTATAAACTGACGGTAGGGATTACGACCTGCTGGAGTTAGTGCAGGGGATTCTGGGTTGTAGCCCTCTGGATCATAATTATCTAGTGAAGACATTGGAACATGCATTGGTAATTAAGTTGGAGGTGGTAGACAGGAAACAAATTCATAAAAATATGCAATGTTGCAATAAGCAAAATGCAAACAAATACCATAAATATCCAAATAGAGTCTTGTTTTATGAGTTTGAAACTATTAAGTGTTCAATACAAAAGCAAAGTTATACAAATTATGAAAAAAATAAATGCAAATGTGAACGTAAATAAACAAAAAAAAATTGTTAAACAGTGCTACCCTGTGGCCATCAGCTGCTATTGCTGCGCATATAAAATAAAACCTGAACACAAAGCCATGTCAAACATAGATCAACCAGAAATAAGACCTCACAAATGAAATATAATATATAAATGAAAAGACAAACTCATGGTTGTTCAGGAAGAAACAGAAAAAAGCAAGCTACTGCACAGGTCAGCTCTCCAGACACGTCTTAATCTGAACAGGAAATGCACTGCTGCTTACATTCAGACTGGACATATTGGGGATGGTGAGAAACAGATGAGGACGAAGGAGGAGGTGGAGGAGGAAGAGGAAGATTAGGCGGCAGCCCTACGCCAGGTGGTCCAATAGGAGGAGAAGAAGTGATTGCAGATTGGTGGTTGGGGGTATCAATTCCACTGGTTGCTATCAGTGGGGGTCCTGAGGGAGACACAAGCCCAAGCTAATGTCTCAGATACAGCGTAGTCATAACAATTAGCTCTGGGTTGAGCTACAGTTTAATACCTGCTGTTCAATGGGAAGGCATCAGGAAACCTTCATCTTGACAAGTCATATATGTATATAAACATATATACACATCTATAGATTTTCAACTAGGTGAAAGAAAAACTGTCCTAAAAGAGGTCTCTTTAGAGGATTTTTAACTAGCACATTACCAATAAATATATTATCATTGTAAAATTGATAGATGATGAGAGATAGTTCACCCCCTGGCTGCAGTTATTTTAAGAATTATGCTTTTCACCCCCTGGCTGCAGTTATTTTAAGACTTATTATTACTATTTACACCTGTTCTTCCTAGTATAGGAAGTTAAGTATACTATTACTTAACTGTACTGTGGGGTTGACTGTTTGCACACAAAAAATAACTCACTTGGCATTGGGAAGATACCCGGAGGTGGCGGTTGGCTGTAGGGTGGTATCGAGGGAATCCTGAGAGGAGGAGGAGGCTCAGTGATAGGAGGCATAGGTAGACTGGCGGGGGGCATCACAGGTGGAGGTGGAAACGGAATCATCTTAGGAAGGTTGACATCATCAACAATGAGAGGGTCGTTTCCATGGTCGAAAGGACAAAGGTCCCCACGGACACAAAACCCCTTTTCTGTGGAGAGAAAAGATTGATGAATCTCTGTTAAAATGCAGCTAAAATTGGCAACATAAATACGATTTTGAAATAAATTAAGAAGTTGAACAACATTTGTTGGGAATGAACAAGATGAACCACTGCCTAACTTCACGGCAGCAATGACACACAACACAACTTATTTACCCCACAGTCTCATTAAGATGAAAGTCTTCTGGGGCACGTCTGCACATAATGACAGATAGTTGTTACTCTAGGGTGAGACTCTAAGTTTAAACACCCTTGTGGGCCACTGTGGTGAGTTGGATGCAAGCCTGCTTGCTTTTCTGTCTGCCACAGGGGAAAGGAGCGGAGTGCTAAACAGTGGTCATTAGTGATGACACTAAACAAGGTCATCAATAACCCTCCTGGGAGGAATGAGATAATGGTGGCCAGAGCATCCACATCAGACATTAGGAAGAACAGGTGTAAAGTGTACATTTAACTTCGGAACATCGATGAAAACCGTAGAAAAAGAAAAATGGGACCTACCATCATAATCCCTGCAGCGCTGCTTCAGTGAAACGCTTTTGTTGTTGAACGGCTTTCCAACACCATCCTGCCTTTGGTTGCTGTAGAAGCTTGACCAACTGTCTGTAGTGCTGTCAGGCAGGTGAGCCAATGTCGCAATAGGAACACCAACAGGCCCAGAGACTCCAGTAGAAGATGATGAGGTGGAAGAGAAATGGTGCGTAGTTGTAGGCAAGGGTAGAAGAGGCCCTGGGTGGTGGTGGTGGTGCTGCTGCTGCTGCTGGTGCTGTGAGACAGATGTGGTTGAAGAGTTGTAGCTGTCGGTCTCCTTTCTGTCCACCTCAAACTTTGACTTGAAATCTGCTAAAGAAAAACAGTAAAAGCAAGGGACAACGACAGATTACAATTTTACCGTAGTGATAAACAACAGCAAATGTTTAAAGGAGGTAAAAGATAAGAAAAAGAACCTAAGGGATAATACGGCCATTTCCATCCAAATAAATCCCACATATGTGAGGGCAAAGCTGTCCACATTGCTCAGTTATGATAAAACGTCTACCAATAACATTTAAGAATCTAAAAAAAAAGCTACACCGAGATTTAAATTCCGTTCTCATAGTATCTAAGAAGCCTTCATCTGCACCTCTGTTACCAATGCACAGTTCAGCCTCGCTGACAAGAGCTTCAGGAGCTTCTATCACTCCTGGGTCTTGTCCCTGTGCTGTTGTTATTGGTTGTGTGGATTGGCTACATGGGAAAGGTTCTTACCTCTGCCTCCTCTGTGCTCCCTGTCCCTGCTCTTCCCTCGACTGCCACTCCTACTTCGGCTACGACTGCCCCTACGACGCTCATGTCGCTCCCTCTCACGGTAAGAATCACTGCCGCTTTTCCCGTGGCGATCAAAGTCACGACGCTTGCGCTCCTCTCGCCTCCTGTCGTCGCGACTCCTGTGTGGGGTATTGAGAGGAGAGGGAGGATATTTTTATCTCTTTTAAAATACAAGATATTTTAAAGCAACAAACAGCTAAAGGACACAGACAGCTTATATAAACTGTATCCATTTCTATGCATATAGAATATCAGTTTATCTTCTTTGACCATATAATTCAGCAACATCTTACAGTATGTGTCATGGTCTTATGTATGGTCAGTGACCACCCAGCCTACCTGGACTCATTGAACTCAGGGCGATTTCTCTGAGGACTTCTCCTCCACCTGTTTTCTCTCTCTTCCTCTGCCGTTTCAGCCTTAAAGGGAAAAACAGCAATATTTCAAACTCAGTGGCTTAGATTGTGTTCCATAAACAATTGTTGACATAGTTTATAGAAACGACACCAATGTGATCAGAAGCACATACCTCAACAATATCAGATTTGACTGCAAGTGGTTTAACCTCCTCTTTAGGGGTCTCCTTTGCAGCAGGGATTCCTAAATAGTTCTTGGTTGTCAGACACTCAAAAAGCTTATCGACAAACCCTGTCGTCTCTGCAATGACGATAAGAGGACAGAAAAAAATATATACTGTTACTTCCTGTTAATTTTCAAAAATAAAAAATAGAAGCAATCCAACAGTTACGAGCTCAGATTTAAAAAGAAAAATTGAAGGGATTTGACAGTGTGTAAATAAGTTATTATACCAGTGAGTTACACATGTAGTATCTTTATTATGTTTTAATGTCATATACTATCATTTAACTGTTTAACAGAACTGTATTTTTGTGAGTGAAATTATAAGACATTTTAAAAGGATTTGTAACATGTTTTAGTTTTTTTTTTTATAAAGATAGACACACCAAGTAATTTTGTAACAGGACATTCTAAAGGGGGTCACCAACCTTATGGAAACTGAGAGCTACTTCAAGGGCACTTAGTAATATGAAGAGCTACTTGTCTGATACAGACTTCCCGAACCATGTTATAATAATCAGTTCTGGGACATACAATAGTAGAATCTCTTCTTACCATCGTTATTGCACCCATTTGAATATCATTGCAAGTGTAACTGAATGAAAAAGCACAGTTACAGTAGAATTTTTGACCCTCTTGTTGACTAGTTTTATTTTGGAAACATACTCTGCGGGCACCTTAGGTAGTCCACAGGGGCTACCAGGTGCCCCGGGGGCCCCACGTTGGTGACCCTTGTTTTAAAGGGACATAACTACCCTCTAGTGGACAAAGTCTTACCCTTGAGCACAGGACAAGTTTAGCAATATATTTGGCATGATTGTGAAGTGTATATGTTACTACATAAATGTATGATTTCTCATACATGGTGTCTGCCTATTAAAAAATGGATATGGAGCATTATGGATTAGGTATGAATAATTCTTGGTAACAGAAGACTGCTTATAGAAAGTGGGCTATTGAAAGAAAGGATACGCAATTTATACATTTTCTACACTGGTGAACGTCCTGACCAAGGAGAACAGGATCAAGCAAGAAGAGTGAGCAGGTAGATTTTGGACATAGGCAGACAGCAAAATGTTCTAAGGGAAGTTGACTAGGTTGCCAGACACAATGAATTTGTGTTTTGATAACACACATTTGTACATAACAATAATCTGTTAATTTTCAAAAATAAAAAATAGATTGTAATAAAAATTGTATTGACCATAATGTTTTATAAGGTTCATACCTTTTTGCAGAAAGACATCAAGTTGATCAGCACAAAACGCTTTTAACTCCTTCTCTGGTTTGTCCTTCTTCACAAGAGCAACCACATAGTTGGCTAAAGCAGAGGGGTCTGCATCACAACTGTAGGTTAAAATGAAAATTAGTCAACCACTATCTTCTGCTGATATAAATTAAAATCGAAATATATATTAGGTCCAACTTTTCCATTACGGAGCCTCCTCAATCACTCCTGAAAACATGTCACATGTACATACATGCATTAAACAATCATCCAATTCATCAGAATTTATAGTTTACAACGACCTTTCTTGTCCAAGACTGAACTCAGCTCTGCATCCTTTGAGATGTACTACTTACCCCTAAAGACTAGTATTATTAATATGCATATAACTACGTATTAACCAAAATCGTGTTTTAATAACGCCATCTGCAATGTTTTATTAAAAGAGTACTTTACACACACGTGTCTTGAGTGATTTTTAAAGGAATTGATTAACGGCTTTTTTCAATATTAAGCTAATGGGCAAGTGTACGTAACTTGTAACTTCAATCGCGTTTTATTTATAACAGACATATATTATGAATGTATATAACTGGGTGACATTAGAGTAAATACATTTTTAAACATTTACTGCTTAGTTCTGTTAAATCACACGTAGCAGCATGCGAGTAAAATAGCCTGTGGTAGTTTGCTGTGTTGCTACTGACATGAGATAAAGTTACAATATCGTGGGCCAGCTGTGAACCTAACTAAAATAAGTGCATAAAACACACATGGCCCTAGACACGTTCTTGTTTTTTTATCTACTTAATTCAAACTCAAACGGTCAATCTGTTTTTGGCCATTCGACGCCAGTTAGCGGCAGAGGCGGTTCGCTAACTCGTGCAAGAATTTGTCATCAGTTTCTAGCGGGTTTCCATTGATGCCAGGCTAAGCTGCTGGCTAGTTCGCTAAAGCAGCTACGTAGCATGCGAGCTAAATGTCATTTCGATTGAACACTTACATTGGCTCCAGGAGTTTTGCCAGCCACGACTTCAATGCCTCCACATTCTCTATGATCATCGTGAGAAAGGCTGCAACACTGTTTATGAAATAAAAGTGCGTGCTAATAACCCTACTTTCATCATCTAATAATTTATAATCTTAAAGGCCTCTTCTCTCTTGCTTGCAGGTCGTACAAAGCGCTTTACGACATGGCAACACACGGCGAGTTGTCGTAAAGCTGTTATGACAGACGTTATTATGACGTTATCACAATAATGTGTCTTTTGTTGTTTACAATAAACATTCTTATTAAGAACAAACACATTTGATGTAGAAATGTGCATTCTCAATATAAAACATATTAAACTGTTTGATTTAACCATTAAAACATTGTACGACATAGTTGAAGAACTATGGACTTCATCTCCCAGAATACCTCACGCGGAGTTGTTGGTGTGTCGTCAGCCAGACACCGGCAGCGGCGTGGGTCTTCCTTGTCAAACTGAAAACTCTTTCAGCGTCGCAAATAACAACCCATAGGTCTTTTAGGTCAAAATGACGGTAAGACGATCATTTTATTATAATCTCCTTTGAATAATAACAAAAAACCTTTGCTTTAAGGGTGCTTTTTATACTTTTTGACCTACTGTGGCTGTGCATTGGGGTTGATAGCATGCTAGCTGTTAAATCAAGAGGAGAAACATACTCAATTGCATAAAAGGATAAAAAACATGTTTTATCGTTGAACGTGTGCCTCTAATTACATATCATTATGCAATGCTCTAGTCTGCTATTTTTTAAACTTTCATTTTTAAAACTATAAATTCCTATTAATTGTCCACGACGATTCTTTATTTTATGACAGGAACGGAAAGGAACGGCAAAGTTGGACTACCTGAGAAAAATTGAGATAGATGTCCAGGAGAAATGGGAGAAGGAAAAGGCATTTGAGCATGATGCGCCCTCAACAGTTGGGGAAAGCAACAAGTGAGCAGCTGTCATTTATACTTGCACAAAAAATCACGGCGTTTTATCTCAGAAATTCCTGGAATTTACTGAAGTTGACTTTTTTAACGAGGTGTTCATTGTGCATTTGTCATTTGATTTGTGAAAGAGGCATTTATGTTAGGTTGTTGTGCTGACAAATGTTTATCTAGCTTTTGAAGACACCCTGGTAATTTGTTTTTTGGTTTAACAATGTCATTTGTGTTTTCAGATTAATTAAACTATATGGTGCACATTTAATCCATAAATCCATCAAGTTTTATTCTTGCTATTTTATATTTACACTGGGTTTTGTGAAGTTAGAAGAAATCAGGCTCATCAGTAGCACAACTTAAATAATAATAATAAAAAAAACCCAACACATTATCTAGTTAAGTAGTCTGGTCGCTGTATCTGAGCTACAAATGAGGCTCACTTTTTTATTAATTTTCTTTAACTCATGCTAAAATCATAGCAGCACACATGGGCAGAATTTTTAAAACAGTTTAAAAAAATGCAATACAATTTTAGTACTTAAGAGAGTGCAATTGTATGCCCTAATTTCATTGTAATGACACAAAAGTATTGTTATCTTTCTCTACAGCAAAAACAAGTACTTTGTCACCTTTCCTTACCCCTACATGAATGGCCGGTTGCATCTCGGCCATACATTCAGCTTGTCAAAGTGTGAGGTATGTCTGCATTAAGTAAAAATATAAACAATTTTCACAATTGTACCAATGATTTATGTCAGAGATTTGGACCAACTTGTTGTTTTTTTTACTTCCAGTTTGCTGTTGGTTATCAAGCTCTGAAAGGGAAGAAATGTCTTTTTCCTTTTGGGCTTCACTGCACAGGGATGCCAATAAAAGTAAGTGGTTTTTCCATCATTGGTTAAATATTTTCATCCCTATACAATTAGAGAAATAAAAGAGAGATATTATCGCAAAACCAACTTCTATCTCAATTAGAGAAATAAAAGAGAGATATTAACGCAAAACCAACTTCTATCTGCTGCCTTAAGCTCATGCATGACTCTGCTACTCTATACAGTGTTCCTTGATAATACTACATTATTATTTTATCCAACAGGCCTGTGCAGACAAGCTGAAAAGAGAGATGGAGCTGTATGGGAACCCTCCACAGTTCCCAGATGAGGAAGAAGAGGAGAAGGAGAAGGAAAAGCCGAAGACATCCGATGAAATCATCATTAAAGACAAAGCAAAGGGGAAGAAGGTCTGTTCCCAAGAACAAGACTGATGGCATTTTTTAGATTGTCTTGTTTGAGTCGTTGTGTGAGAATGTTAGTGTTGTGAAGAGCCTTCTAAATGCTATGTATAACACAGTGTTCTGTCTGCAAGATTTAAAAAATGGGAATGTTATAGGCTGTAAAATGAAATTAATCAGACAAAAAAATTTAACACATTGGCAGACACAACACACACTGTACATCCATAAAATTCAACTATCCATTCACTAATCTTTGCATTAATACCCAGTCGATACGTGTGTTATTTACAAACACTCCTGGACGTTGTTTTAGTATCACCGAAGCAACTCAGCTAATAATACCATCTCTCCCCCAGCATTCACTTGTGCAGGCTTCAACCTCCTGAACTATGTGGTTACTGTAAAGCTGATCAAAATATGACCTAATATGAACCTGTCTCTCTTTCTCCATCTAACCACTGCTATCAACATTATACTCTGTCCAGTATACTCCTGCTTTTTCAAATTCTAATTTTTCTTGCATTATATTTTAGAGTAAAGCTGTTGCCAAATCTGGAACGTCCACCTTCCAGTGGGACATCATGAGGTCTCTGGGTCTGACTGATGGGGAGATCACCAAGTTTGCCAATGCTGAACACTGGCTGGAGTATTTCCCCCCATTGGCTGTTAAAGACCTCAAACAGATGGGCGTCAAGGTGACTTCATATACTGATCTAAACCAACTCACTTTGTAATGTTGTTTTCTTGTACCTGACTCTTCCTGTATTCATAACCACGCACAGTTTATGCATCATCATGTGTTAATGTGCTTCCATTATGCCTAACTGATTTACTGAAGTATGAGATTCATCAATCACAGTGCAATTTAATCAAAGTAAGTCCATAACATGGTCAAAATCCTTGTCACAGGTGGACTGGAGGCGATCCTTCATCACCACAGATGTGAATCCCTTTTACGATTCCTTCGTCAGGTGGCAGTTCAACACCCTGAAAGAGAGAAAAAAGATCAAATTTGGCAAAAGGTACATTAGAAGCTTTCTTTAATTGACTTTTGGTCTTGTATTTTTATGGCACTTATTTTAATTTGAACTATTGTCTTTGGCCTAATCTACAGGTACACCATCTACTCTCCCAGGGACGGGCAGCCCTGTATGGATCATGACAGGCAGACAGGAGAGGTATCCAGCTCAGAAACATTTCCCTTTGTATCCGTCACAGAATTTTAATGTGTGTACTCGCTGGTAAGATACCAGACTGTCTCCTGCTTTCAAGTAACTTAAATTGTGATTTGTTGATTTTTGTTTTTAATATCAGAATTTTTGATTTAAGGTTTTATTTACTTTTCTTTCAACCAGTCTGTTGTTTTCATCTGCAGGGAGTTGGACCTCAGGAGTACACTCTCATCAAGATGAAGATAGTGGAACCGTACACAGGCAAATTCAAGTCTAAAGTCTTCTACAGCAGGTGACACTGAGCACTGATCACATTTAAACAGAAACCCTACCCCTCAGGGCCTTTTAATCTCTTTGCTATTGTGAGAAAACAAACAACAAACCAAAAATTAAAACATTTGCCTCATGTTGATGATGGTCTTCCTCTAGCGGCATGAAAGGCAAAAGCATCTACCTGGTGGCTGCCACTCTGAGACCAGAGACCATGTTTGGCCAGACCAACTGCTGGGTGAGACCAGACATGAAGTATGTTGCCTTTGAAACAGCCAGCGGAGACGTTTTCATCTCCACCAGTCGTTCTGCCAGAAACATGTCTTACCAGGGCTTCACCAAAGAGAACGGAGTGGTGCCAGTGATTATGGAAATACTCGGACAGGTACTGACTGTGTATTTACTGCACATTCATACATGCTGATGACATAAGAAATGCTACTAATGTTGCTGTGTAAAAATAATTATTATTTGTGATGTTAACCAAGAGATCCTAAGGCTACATTTGTAATGTTTTGATGTAATGTATGTAATTTTTGCAGTATTTAAAAAAATATTTTTCTATCAGTCCCACAATACATTCTGATGTACAATACTGTGTGCAATGGAACATTACATATGTGTAAGTGTAAGTGTGCATTAAAGTAAAGTAAAGGTTATACTGTGTACACAAGACTTTGTCCAGCAGGTTTTGAAGTAACATTGCATATTTCAAATTTCTGCCTCTTTGCAGGACATCCTTGGCTGTGCACTGAGTGCACCTCTGACCTCCTATAAGATCATCTATGCTCTGCCCATGCTCACCATCAAGGAGGACAAAGGTATGACATGAGATGTTTAAGAATTTGTACATTTTTAGTGTCCATTCTTCTGGGATAAAAAGTCACTGGACTCATCTGGCCTCCGTTTAGTTTCTCTGTCACTTTTGACTACTGCTGCTGTAATACTGCTGTGTCCTATGGTAATCCTAATCAAACCAGTACTTTATAAACTAGACTTTTTAATAAACTATCGAGAAACACAATTGTATTGTGGTCTTGTGCCGTAGGTACTGGTGTGGTGACAAGTGTTCCTTCAGATGCTCCTGACGACATCGCTGCTCTCAGAGATATAAAGAAAAAACAGGTGAGGTGAAAGAACAACAATTTCTATTCCCTCTTTGAAAATGTAGCTTAATTTAAGACATGATTTAAAATTGTAGTAATGTAATTTTTCTTTCTTAAATGTTTAATCTTACAAGGCTCTTCGAGAGAAGTATGGAATTGAGGACAAAATGGTGCTGCCTTTCGAGCCGGTGAGCTGAGTTATTGAAGTCCATTTGACTTCCTCCTATTTGAACTTACTTTTTCAGTCACCTCAACAATTTCATTGAAAAGACACACATGAGTGCAGCGACAGATGCCTTGATATGACTATTTTCCTCCTCTATGGATGTGCACTTAGGTCCCCATCATAGAGATCCCAGGCTATGGAAACCTCTCAGCTCCTCTGGTGTGCGATGAACTGAAGATTCAGAGCCAGAATGACAAAGAGAAGCTAGCTGAGGCCAAGGAGAAAGTCTACCTGAAAGGATTTTATGAGGGGGTGAGTTATCTGAGTGGTTAGTAAGCAAAAAGAAGGTTCATCTTAAAGTTTTAAAACTGTATTTATTTTTTGACGTCATTAATTCCCACCTCAGGGCTAGTCTCTAGACTGCTAGCGTGTATAACATGATTCTGTATATGTCTCAGATAATGCTGGTTGATGGCTTCAAGGGACAAAAGGTCCAGGACGTGAAGAAACCCATCCAGAAGATGATGGTAGAGAAGGTAAGGTATTGTAATATTCTGTGTTCGAATCCTTAAAAAATCAAAGTAAATTATATGACGATATATTTTGTTATGTCTGAATTTACGTGCGACAGGGTGAGGCCATGATCTACATGGAGCCAGAAAAACAAGTGATGTCGCGTTCGGCCGATGAGTGTGTTGTAGCTCTCTGTGATCAGTGGTAAGTAGTGTGTATTTTGTAAATTACTTTCTTGTAAATTGGCTTCATAAAATGCAAACCCATTGGAGAATAATGGATAAGGTGTGATTTTTTTTTTCTCCACCCTGAGAAATCAAATCTGAGAAATGTGAGCCCTAACTCAAATGGAAATACCAATTAGTGGTTGCTTTAAAAGCTCTAAAATTAGCTAGAGCCAAAGATAATTAGGAGAGCCACAGTCAATTTATCTGACAGAGTTAAAAGCAAGCAAAAATTAAAACATTTCTTCCCTCACACTAGATAACTAGAAATAGGTTACAATTAACAGAATAGTACCAAATTCAGTCCAGACTTAGCTAGAAGGTGGCCAAACGTTTTGCACATGGTTAAGACAAAACGGAAATGTGCCCCTAAAGAGCCAAGAGTAACTAAAACATAACCGAAATAAATGGGAAATTGCTTTAATATAAAGCCATTAATAACAGAAAATGAAAGATGAGCCAAGATAACTGACAAATATTGTAAATTGATGGAAAAAAATAGAAAAATATATTGAAGGTACTTGGAAATATCCAAGATAAGGGCATGAAGCTTGACTAAAAAAACAACAAAAAACAGCATTTAACTGGTGGACATGACCACCGTAGATGCAGTTTAACATTTTGGTTCTGAAATGTTTAAAATAGTTTAAACTGAAATTATTATTAAGTGAACAAATATGTTTTAGGTATCTGGACTATGGTGATGCTGAGTGGAAGCAGCAGGCCAATGAAGCCCTGAAGTCTTTGGAAACGTAAGTGGTTGTTTTAAACCAAAGCAAAACCAAGGAAAAAACGTGTTAAGTTGAAGTGTATGTCCTACTACTTTAGATTTTGTGAAGAGACCAGAAGAAACTTTGAGGCGACCTTGGCCTGGCTGCAGGAACACGCCTGCTCACGTACCTACGGACTCGGTAGGTGTTTGTGTATGTGCTTGTCAGGGTGTCATGATGTTTAGTTGATTTAGTTGACAAGATATAGTTTAATATCCTGACGGTGAAAAATGATCCATAAGAGGCTTGAATGGATGAGTGATGTTTATGCTGTAAGGTAACCTTGTGATCCCTAGGTGGAGACAGAGGACTGGCTAAAATGCAGCTGTCAAAATGTGTCCTTTCTTGCAGACATAATTATAGCTTTTTTACAGCACTGGAAAAATGTATTTTACCGTTTAAGATTTTTTAGAGTGCTCTTTTTAAATTCTGCATATGGCATTGCATGCTTTCATATATATATATTTTTAATTTGTACTAACTAACGTTTAGAAATGTTTTTAAAGGATCCTCACAGCATCAGAAGCTTAAGTATTATAGATATCTTGTAGAATTATAGCTACACAGACATAACACAATCAGCTTGTGTCTCTGAAACAACAGGTTGTTTCTGTAAAGTCCATTTTGATAATAAAAAAAAACCCAACGATTATCTCTCCCTGTTTGCCGAGGATTAGCAGAAAATTCCCAGGATTTACTTTGTGTTTGTGTTTGGTTTGGCATCAACGTGTGACGAGTTACATTTTCGACAAAGTGGAAAGCGGTGGGATCAACAGTTGTTATCCCTAATTTGATCTCTTTCAGACTTCTCCACAGCCTCATGATTATGTGTTGTCTGTATATGTGCTTGGTAACCATAGGAACGCGGCTGCCTTGGGATGAACAGTGGCTGATTGAGTCACTATCAGACTCCACCATCTACATGGCTTATTACACTATAGCCCATCTACTCCAAGGGGGCGTACTCAATGGACAGGAGCCTTCACCACTCGGCATCAAGTGCGGTCAAATACACACACCAACACACACCTATAGAACTGTATATAGGTGTAGTTAGGTTAAGTAATTGTCTGAAATTATATGCCTCTGACGGCAGATGCTGCTGCTGCCTTGATTAAATGTAGACAAAGAAACAGTCACAAAGGAGCATTTGTCTTTCTCGTCTACTTTTCTTTAGGTGAAGAACAATCCTAATAAAAAATAAAAAAGCCACTCATTTTCTCTCTCTTTTCCCTCTATAGGCCAGAGCAAATGACTAAAGAAGTCTGGGACTTTATCTTCTTCAAGACGTCTCCTTTCCCCAAGACTGACATCCCTAAAGTGAACCTCCAGAAGCTGAGAAGGGAGTTCGAGTACTGGTACCCTGTGGACGTTCGTGTGTCTGGCAAAGACCTGGTTCCCAACCACCTGTCCTATTACTTGTACAACCATGTGGCCATTTGGCCCCAGGACAAGTGAGTCTGTCTGCTTTGTGGACTTAGTCAAAACTAATATGCAAACAAGGAGACAGGGACGCACGTCCTTCCCAAAGACACGCAGTTAAATTAGTTGTTTACCTTTTCTTTTGGATCTCTGTTCTGCTCTGCTGTCTACCAGGGGAATATGTGAAAATAAATTGGCCGTCGAGTTGCTGTTGTGCAGAGACAAAAACATTAAACAGTCAACAGCGTTTCAGTAACAATAGCAGAGTGTTTCAGACTTTCTAGTCCTCAGATATGCTGCTCAACAGTTATATTTGTCATGTTTGTCCACCCAAGAAGTTTATTCTGCCCCGTGAAAAAAATGACTTAATCTAATCATTCTCAAACTCTGACTGTGCTGCACTTTATGCAACACTTTTGTACATCCAAAATCATTGTTAAGGTTTGCTATTATCCAACTAGTGGCCTGTTGTTTTTTTATTACTGCTGGTCCATGTGTGGATCCAGTTTTTTTTTACTGCTGGTCCATGTGTGGATCCAGAGCAAAATCGTTTTGACCCTTAAGGTAAAAGTTGTATTCTTTCTCATTCTTTAACAAAAGTTTCCATGAAAAGTGACAACTGTACTTTGTTGTTGAGGAGAACGTGAGTCAAGATAATATTATTAATCAAAATTTGCACTTACATTTACAGAACTATTCTTAATAGGTTAAATTGTGATTTTGTTCCCACTATGCATGAGAATAATGTGCAATCAGACTAATGGTGCCGTATGAAAACATTTTCATCCACAGTAAGAAGTGGCCACAGGCAGTGCGAGCCAACGGACACCTTCTCCTGAACTCTGAAAAGGTACGTCAAAAAGATTTGGAAAAACAAAAACTTTTTTGTTGCAGTGTGAGGTTTCCTATTTGACTGATGCCAGTAGCGAAGCATTACAAAGCAAAAAAGTTGACAAACATCTGATACTGTAAGAAGCTTAATTACCTTATGCTCTTGATTTGTGTTTGTTCTCTGATAGATTTAAACACAGATGGTCTCACGAGTCTCTCAATGCTTTAATTCCTCTGTGTTTTGTAATGAACTCAGTCACACTTGGCTAGGTGTACTTGACAGACTGTCGCCGCTAACATCTGTTTGTCTTGGTTCCAGATGTCCAAATCAACGGGAAATTTCCTCACTCTCAGCCAAGCCATTGACAAGTTCTCAGCAGATGGTACATTCAAATTTGTTTTATTTTCATTTTACCGTCTCTCTTGTGTATCAAATTGACTCATTCTCTTGTTTCCGTCCTGTTTATTGTTCAATATCTGCTTCACATTTAAAACTCACAAAAAAACCATGAGGTGCACATTGAACAAAGGTATTTGCTGTTCTCAAAGTAGTCTAAAGTAGTAGTAAGATGCCTAACAATATCTGTTGTGCTGCAAGAGCATTAAACATTAATCCGATTAAATCTAAAAAAGCAGTACACACTAGGAAAAAAAATGTAAATTGACATAGAACCAGTAACCATATGCAGTAGTACTACATTGTACCATACCGTCTGCCCTCAATGTGGAAGGAAAACTTTGTCCAACTTTTTCATCTTGAATTCTTTGTTTAATAATGTATAAATGTTGGTTGTTTTTGTCACAGCGTGAAAGAAACAAAACTACACGACCTGACAGCAAACTGACTCTTCAAGTTGACCTCTTGTCTTAGAGTACGCAGGTTTCTCTGCAGGAGATTTGAAGTTAGATGTTTTTTTTTAACTGACTCTGTGAAGTTCCCCACGTTGTCACAGTCTGCTGCAGCGTTTGCATGTGTTTTAGAAAAATAAATGAGACCTGTGTAGACGGGCAGTATTTCTGCAGACCACCAGCTCTTCCAAAGCTTTGGTCATCACAGTTTAAATGGTCTGAAGTATTGCCGATTAAATCTTAATACTCTGATATTTTTTCTTACAGGTATGCGTTTAGCTTTAGCTGATGCTGGTGATACAGTGGAAGATGCAAACTTTGTGGAAACCATGGCTGATGCGGGTATCCTCCGTCTCTACACCTGGGTGGAGTGGGTGAAGGAGATGATTGCCAACCAGAACAACCTGAGAACAGGCCCTGCTAACACCTTTAATGATAGGGTCTTTGCCAGGTAGGGTGCTAATTACAGAGCCTGACCTGGGCACCTAAAAACAGTGTTAGTGGACCTTAAAGTTTTTTTTTTATATTTAATCTAACATACCAACACACACCCTGAAATAACATTGAGTAACATAATTGTCAATTAACTATTAATAAATGAAGAGATGAAGTAGAGTGCCTCCAATATATAAATGACAAAAGGTGTTCTGTTCCAACAACAAAAAATGTGCGGTATGATACAAAAGGTCATTCAAAAAGTTGCAGTTAGGCCTTTACTCAAGTGACTGATAATATTTTTTACTATTGTTTGTATTTGTTCATTTTTTTGTTTGCCATTTAGAGCATGATGAATAGACAAATTGTCTTTTTAATTATATGCCACCAGGTGGCGCCCTATGACCCGTCTTTTTTGGGCTATGTCGAAAGCTGGCACAGCTTATAATTATTAATTAGTGTTTTTAACTTTATTTATCTACACTGATGGTAACCAAGTATTGTAAACTGCATAAATTGTTTTGGTCAACTTGTCTTGCTAAAGAAGGCCACGTGTAGATTCTTTAACGTAAATTATTGGGAGTGATCCATGGCTGAATTTATTCTCTGTTTTTAATCATCTTTAACATGGAGTGCGGTAAGGAAAGAGTAACAGAGACAAAAATCAAAGCAGTCCATAGAAGTTATCGATTCATCAAGCCTTATCACTATGAGATCGATGCGTTTAAACGGTGGAACATCAATTGTACAGTGACTTCGGCCGACATATTGAATTGCTTCTTCTTTTTCTGTTCAGCGAGATGAATGCCGGCATCCTGAAGACGGAGCAGCACTACGACAGGATGATGTATAAAGAGGCTCTAAAGAGCGGCTTCTTCGAATTCCAGGTAAATTAAACGTCCTTTAAAGAAAAACAACCTTGAATGCTCTTTTTAATCATCCATAAATCAAGCCTGCCTTTCATTTGAACCCAGACAAATCGTAATTATGAGGATAGAACCTTGACGATTCCACCTTTTTATCCTGAGAACGTGACGCATTTACTGGATTAAATATACTTTAGTTTGGTATAATAAAGAGAGAGGCGATGATTGCAACCTTTTTAATCCGCTGTGTGTCTGCGACTGCAGGCGGCCAAAGATAAGTACCGTGAGCTGGCCATCGAGGGGATGCACAGAGACCTCATCTTCCAGTTCATAGAGAAACAGACTCTGCTGCTGGCTCCAATCTGCCCCCACCTGTGCGAATACACCTCGGGTCTGCTGGGCAAGGTAAGTTTCCCTATATGTCATCTGCAAATGCTGGATGTTGTATTTCATTTACTAAGAACTTGTTTTTGGGCCACATTTGTGCCAGTGGAATATCTCACTTTTTTATCAAGGCTCCTTTGTTAACCAATGGGACAGTTCACTTCTCTGGTGTGAAAAAAAAAAAAGTCAGTGTCTGTTTCTCACTTTCTCTCGCACACCCTCTGTCTCTCTCTCTCTGTCCTGTTCTGTGCCTGCCACCCTCTGTCTCTCTCTCTCTGTCTCCGTCCTTCTCTCTCTCCTGTTCTGTGCCTGCCTACTGTATCTCTTTCTCTGATGTGGAGTAGCGGTATTAGAACATCATAATTTATAGATGACGTGTCATAATTTATAGATGTTTTTTCATCATTTTGGAGGAAAACAGGACGCTGTGAATGTTGCAGCCGAAGACTGACCGTCTTGTGAACAAGTATTGATGTGCACCAAGCACATCCTAATACAAACATGATCCAACTTTTGATGGTCCGTGGCTGTCTGCCGATCTGTCTGCAGAAATGTCAAACATTTATCTGTATGCATCTGTCAGTGCGTCAGTGTGCTCTGAATATTCTTAAAGGTTTCTCTCTCTATCTCCCGTGTTTGGCTTAAAAAAAAAAATTAAATCTAAAACTGAAATTTACTTTGGAGATAAGCTAATATTCATAAGAATATTGATTTCGGAATGATTGGATTCAAAAGTACAATCCGACGTGATAGGCCTGGAAATCTCTATCACTGTAGGTTTATTTTTTTATTGGTTGTTGGCAATTGTATAAAAGAGAACAACACCGTATCTTACAGAAGTTGGTATTTGAAGAACATTAAACTCCTCATATCTGTATCTGGTACAAAGAGGTAGTATCCAGCCATTGCTAATTTACATTTTTGTATTACATCCGGGAGCGACATGCTGAACGTTTCCAAGTTTCCACCACTCGTATCCTCTGCGATACGGCAAACAACACACGTCGTCCCTCTGTGTTCATGTCCACCTGGAGTTGTCTGTACAATGCGGGTTATTTATTTTTCTCTCATTATTATGGAAGGAATACACACTCTGTTGAACGCTCCTCACAGCGCAGAGAGCCAAGAATATTTTTAACACTCCAATTTATGAATATAAAAGAGTGCTGCTGTAGATGTGCTTTTCAGTAGTCGCTTAGCAACAACAAAAGCCCAGTGTTTCCCTCAAATCATCTGTTCAGCATCACTTGCTGAAGACCTAAGGTGGACATGGTGAAAGACACCACAGCGTGCCGTTTGCACACGTGTCTGGTTAAAGCAGTCTGCTCCTTATCTTGTTTTCTAGCCGCTGTAACTTCCAGCTGTGAAGTTAAATTGGATTTACAACATCCAGTGGCTCGGAAACATTTGTAATGATTTAAACGGTTTTCAGCTCATGCTGCCTTGATGATGATGATGATGATGATGATGATCTGTTTTCATTGGTGTAATCGTCATGCCACACATGTTTCTCTATCCCCCAGACAACTTCTGTGACCAAGTCGTCGTGGCCTCTGGCTGGTCCAGTGGATGAGATTCTGATCCGTTCCTCTCAGTACCTGATGGAGACGGCACACGACCTCCGACTGAGACTCAAAGCTTACATGCTCCCTCCCAAAAGCAAGGTAAATTAACAAATGCACACACAACGTCGGTTAAAGAGACGGTGAGGTGTAAACTCACGGCGCATCTTCAGATGTTTTGTTTTGTTTTTCCCTTGTCTTTGTCCCTGATGTTTAAATACGTCCAAACTGCTGATTTTCTTGACTTACTAAAATAAAATGAACTAAACAGCACTGCTGACAGCACTGGCTGGGTGCACTGCTGGTTGTGGTGATTTTCTAGTACGAGTATTTGAATGAAGCGTCAGTCCCAATATCCTGGACTGCATGAACATCACTGTCCTTACTGAAGCTGTCGCATTACTGTTACATGGTCGCACAGAAAAAAAAAATCCTCGATGTCCAAACGATCTTGACAATACATTTATATCATCAAGTATACAGTATTGACTAGTGTTGGGATGGGCAGATATCTCCTGCTCCCAGAATGTTGCTATTGATATGATGCTAAGCTTCTGGTGGAAAAAAAAAGACCTGAAAGAAAGGCTAAAAAGAGGGGAAAACAATGTTTGAGGCTAACAAAGCCAAAGAAGATTGTATGAAGTTGTCAAAAACATTTTCAAATGTCAAGAAATGGTGAAAGAAATGTTTCAAGAAGGAACAAACGCAGAACAGATCACATATTACAGAGAAAAACAAGAAACATTAAATGAATAAAAAATCATATACATAATCTTTATAATGTATTTGTATCTTGTTTTTTTTTTAATGAGGTTTCTCTCTAAATGTTAAAGATGTTAACGTGTTTAACCTCTAATAAAACTCTTGCTCTGGATTAAAAACACAGGAAACAAAAATAATCTAATCTGCAGGTTAAGCAACGCTCTGAAAATCTGGCCATGTTTAATTTATGGAGATCATATTAATGGAAATACGCAGACATGCATACAGAACAGGAGTGGAGCGGACTTGACAGCTGTCATGTAAAATCACTTCACAGTTGCCCACCCACAAAACCAGCATTAATCAAGCTCAGGTCTCCGTTAATGCCATGCAGCAGTTTGGTTGTTGCTGTGTTTGTTTCTAAATCAGTACAGGTTCGAATGCCCTTTTTCTTTTTTTTTGCACCTAACAGAAAGCAGATCCCAAGCCTCCAGCCAAGCCGTCTCACTGCACCATCTATGTGGCCAAGAGTTACCCTCCATGGCAGCACAGTGCCTTATCCCTGCTTGGCAAACACTACAAGGTAAAAAAAAATTAAATGGAACAGCTGAGGTTGCCATTTAAAGGCAGCCACCGTGGACCATGTCACCTGTGATGTGTTTGACTGTTGTCCCAGGAAGTCATTTCTTAGTTTGTTTTTTGTCGTCCAAATAACTGTTCAGAGTAACAAGGGTAGTCTCCCAGACAACAAAGTGATCGCCAGTGAGCTGGGAGCCCTGCCTGAACTGAAGAAATACATGAAGAGAGTCATGCCTTTTGTCGCCATGATCAAGGTATGGACCCTGAACACTGTGGGCTAATGCATGCATATTTAGTATCTTTATTCACTGAATACTTATTTTCTTGCCTAATATCAACAATTCAGCTGCTTGTTCAGGCAGCATTTGTTTTCCTTTTTTTTCTCTCTTCGAAATTTTTTTTTTTTTTTTTTACTCTCTTGTTCCTCACTCGGCATAACGACAAACCTTTTTAGTGTCGGAGGTCTTTTTATGCTGTTCACTGGCACCATAGAAAGAATGAAAACTGAACAGCTCAGTCTTTCAACGCCAAATGACTTCTACACATTAATAATTATTTACCTTATTGTTTGGGTTCTGCATTGTGCGCTTTAGGAGAACCTGGAGAAGAATGGACCGAGGGTTTTGGATCTTGAGCTGGAGTTCGATGAGCGAGCCGTACTCATGGAGAACCTGGTCTACCTGACCAATTCACTGGAGGTACGGTCTACCTTCCTAAGAGACATAAGAAACATTCAAAGAAAAATCCACAAATAAAACTGGAGTGGAGGAAGTTTTTTCTCAGGCTACGACTTTTCACAGAACTTACATTGTAGTACAGTAGGTATTTAAAGGTAAAAAAAAAGTATGAACCATATATTTCCAAGTAATTGATTTTTTTTTTTTCCTCGTATGATCCTTCTTTTCAAATATCAGGTTCTGGGTTTAAGGTGTATCATGTTGGTTTTCTCAAAGCTTTTCTCTAGCTTAATAGAATCCAGAGCTCAGTTGTTGGTCAGAAAAGAGTTTCATGCCTTTGTGTTCACAAAGGCTGAAGAATGTGTAAGAGCGTCAAAAGCGGCACTTTTATTCTCCCTTCCTTTAGGTACTGGCCTCATTCATATCCACAATCTGTAAAGTATGCTTTGTATATTTTCAATGCCTCTGCGAATGTGTGTGCTCTGCCGGTGAAATGCATCAATGACGCTGTTGTTTTCTTATCAAATCTCCTCGACAGTTGGAGCAGATCGACGTGCTGTTTGCATCTGAGGCTGACGACAAAGTGAAGGAAGACTGTTGCCCAGGAAAACCGTTTTGTGTCTTCAGATCCGAGGTAATTTCTTTTCTGGTGTCGTGGGCCGCCTTTTAACGCTGACTATGTGAATGTTGGCCGATAGGTTTTCAAATCTGTTTCTCCCATCGGTGGCGCGCTGCCTGGGCTGCGTGTCCGCTTGTACAGAAGTTTTAGTGATAGAAAACACACACACAGCAGCCACAGCCTGTTCTCCCTGCTGCCATCCATAAAGAAGTACAGAAGGATCCACTGCTGTACTACAAGAGTACAGAGTAGTTTTCTTTTTCCACAGGCTGGTACTGAATACATCCTCTGGATTTTCATGACTTGATTATTTATTGATGCCTTTATTATTTATTCATCAGTGCCATAACTTGTTCTGTGTAAGTGGCATAAAAGGGCCACGTTTGTTATTTCACTGTATGTGCTGGTGTTGCATTGTCACCTTTTACGATCTAATTTCCTCCACTTGCATATTTGCTCTGTTTTATCTTTGTTTCGTTTTTTTTTTTGGCCAGACAAGTGCTTATTGGCTTATTGTCAGATGAGGGATTTCAGTTTTGTCTTTGACTTTGCAGCCGGCAGTATGTGTCTCCCTGGTCAACCCTCAGCCATGCAACGGCCTGTTTTCCACCAAGATTGACGTACGTCAGGGAGACAGCAGGGACAGCCTGATCCGTAGACTCTGCAAAGTCAACAGACTCATCAAAGGTCGGTAAAATGAGCACGTTCCTTCAGCCGCATATTCTTCCTCCGTGCCCCTCTCTTGACTCTGCCTTCCTTTTCTAGACATGTCTAAAGTGAAGCTAATGAGGTATGAGGACCCCGTTGGGGGGCCCCGTCGGGTGCCCGTCCTGGGACAGGAGGAACTGGGCAAACTGCCCATCTCCAGCAAGTCAGTGTTCAACATCAATCTGGAAGAGAAGAAGGTGACTCTGGCTGACAACGGCCTCAGCGTGGACATCGGTGACACTCTGGTTTATCTAGTACAATAGAGTTACATTCACTGGCTGAGATTCACAGTGGTGAACGGCGGTGCATTCAGCAAAAGGTCATTTGTGAAATGTGGCGGTGAAATGCAGAAAACTCGTCGTTTTTACTAAAAGCCATAGAACACTGAGTCGGTGCATTTTATAAATAATGTCTGCATGCAGGAATTACAGTCATTGATTAACTGGATATAGCGAGGCTGTTTCCCAGGATGGTTTCGAGGAGTTGGAAGACAAAGAAATTTAAATATGTTTAACATTCTGAACAAGAAAACCCAAGTAATTCAAAACACAGACATGGCAGTGAATACTTAATCTCGCTGCTGAAGGGAAGGAAGTGTCTGAGTCTTATTGAGCCGTCAATCATGGGATTTTTTTTTTTCCCATACGAACTTACCATTTGTATTTTAAGAAGTCGGTGGAAAAAGCAGCAGCGTTGACGTTTATTACAAAACATCTCTCACAGATGAAGTCCTCCAGCTATCAGGTCTTTTATTAAACAGTGGTGGTTAAATCTAATCCAAATCATGGAAATAAATAATTCAAGATTAGTTTCTTGTTCCAGGGTTTTCTACATCAGTTTTTGGAGTAAAACTACAATGAGATCACTTTTTTTTCTCCTTGAAGCAGCAACATTTGAACATTTTATTTTACCAAAGGCGAAGAACAAACGTCTACAATCCATGTTCTATTTAATCGTCGTCCGATCACGTCAGTTAACACGCAGGGTGTTTTCTCCTGCATCCTCATCGGTCTTTGTCGTCCCTCTGTTTTGCTGCTGTGATGTTTTTTACATCGAAGGTGAGGCACCTCTTTTCCTCCGCCTGTCAAACAGCTTTCCTGTTTCCTGTTTTCCAGCGTGGGAGGCATATGTCTGACTCCTGCGTTTCAAGAGAAAAAAAATAAAGCAGACAAAGTATTTCACCTCTCGCTGTTGTTTCTCCTCTCTGCTTTATTTTTTTTTTTTTTTGCCCCCAAAAGCTCATGAATAAAACAAATCTTTTCCACAGGAACAAGTCTGACTTCATGTAATGTGTATTTGTATGGGAACTTCTTTTTTTTTTAACAATACAGGGAAGCTGTAATGGGTTTGAACTTAGTGTTGGGCAACAATCAGTTTCAAGAACTGTTTAAAAAGCACTAAATGAGTGGATATGGTTTTAGCAAAGAGTGCTGGGTGAAGAGAAGGAAATGTTGTGTTGAGTGTTGGATAAGAGGATCGGTACCACGGCTACTGTCAGTTAAAGTGCCCTCTCAGTGCCTTCAATCAAGGAAGTGCACAGGTTTTAGGTGAACAGCGTTTTACAAGAAGGTCGGGAGTTTGATTGCTCACACTTCTCTGTTCCTGTCTGAATGAGATGCTAAACCCATAATGGCACCAGGGTGGCTGTGTTGCAGCAGGTGACTGGGTATTTGATGGGAAGATGTGCTGTAGATGTGCCCTGACTGAGACGAGACGGATGGCTCTGCTGCGGTAACGTTTGACAAATGATAAGAAAAAGTTTCTGACCATGTTTTCTGTCTTTCTGAGATAAAGAACACAGCCTGATTCATCATTCTGTGGTTTTACATAAAAGAGACTTTTAGAATAGGCTCTCAAAGATCACACAGACACAATCCTGACAGTCTGTAAACAGACAGTGAGGCAGCCAAACACACAATCACCCTTAAAGCAAACTTGTTTTGTTTTTTTTTAACAGTGAAATCCACTGAGTGTTTTGGTTAGAGGACTCTGTCCATCAACTCTCCTGACTCCCTACTAAGAGAAACTTGTCTTATTGTAGTTGTGAAGACGATGATGATGGTCTTGAACTTGGACTACTTCTAATTCTAACCCTCACCTCAGACAAACTCTGAAAATGCTCTTTGGCTGAGACCTTACAGCCAGTCTTGATACTCAGTCCCGTTAACAAATTCTAATTGTGTTTTCCCGGCGTTTTCTTTTTTTTTTTTTTGTCTACGATACGGCACCAGTCCTCAGCCTTTTTTGTTCCAAGGCCCGGTTAATTACATTTTTGAAATAAAACATCATTATTTTTGAATGAATTAAGTACATTTTTTCAGTGTGTCCTACTGTGGCCCGGTACCAAATTACCTACGGACCTGCATCGGTCCCCGGACCGGGGCTTGGAAACCCCTTCCATACTTTACGTGAATATAATATAAATAGAATCGGTGAAATCATTATAAGACTCATCCTCTTCTAAAGTGCCTAGTAAATAAAAGTTCATATAAAAGTGCATTCCCTGTTCACTGATTATTTGAAAAAAAGCATGTAATGGGCAACCAAACAAGTACACATATGTACACATCTATATGTGTTTTTCCTCAACAGGTTAATGTCAAAGAGACACATGAACCAGAGGGACACCCTCTGCCTTAAGGGTGAGTCTACATTTACAGAACGTCTATTCAAACGCAACAGAAACAGCAAATGCTTTTTTTTTATTTTAACACCTAAATATAATTCTATACATATTTACATTTTTATATATATATATTTAAATTTCTTGGTGTTTGCGGCTGGTCGGTTGGTTTATTCACACCTTATTCCGTGCGCCCTATAACTCACAGACAAACCCTAGACATAATCACCTATGTAAAGTCCTTCAGTCTGAGCTGCGGATGTGATGCATGCAAATATTTACTGTACATCTGATGTTGACCACGTTGCTTCTCTGCATCTGTGCGAGCAGCAGGGCAGTGAAGACTCAGACAGAAGGCGGCTAACACGAGACTTATCTCTGTCAAGCAGCCTCTGGCTGAGCCTTGTGAATGCTGGCTTTATCTTCTCCAACACACCATCTCACAGGGGAAGTGTCACTCTGCCTCTCCCTGCACCTCCTTGTTTCTGCTGACTCTCTGTTTACCCTCTCCTGTCTTCTTCTCCTCAGCTCTCCTCTGTGTGGATGCCCACATTGTCTAGTCATGGACCAGACAACAGTCAGATACCAGTAAGTGTTTCTTTGTCCCTGCTGGTTTACATTGTTGTCACCACTGAGTACAATGGAGTGCAGTCAAACGCTCACTGCTGCTGTTGTGTTGCTGCTGTATCTCTTCTTTAATGGCCGTGTTGGTGCGAATGCAGCTGAGCGACCGCACTGTTGCTGTAGATATTACTACATAGGAACTACAGTGTAGTGTGAGTCAAAACTTTTTTTCAGGAACTACAGTGTAGTGTGAGTCAAAACTTTGATTCTATTGATTCTCTTTTCTCATTTCAAGCCTGCGGTAGAATTGTAGCTGTCACGTTTGAATGTGATGTTATTCTCCTTGAAGACAGATTAATGAAACATCTCACTTTAGACCAGTGCCGTCAGATATGAACGAATCATCTGTGTTTGAGACCGGGGACGTCGCCACGGGGTGCAAGTACACAATTCTCACGCAGCCCGGGCTGGGTGTCACCACGACAACCATCACCACCATCACTCAGACAGGAGGAGGCTGGAGCACGGGCTTGTTTGACATCTGTGAAGACAAGACCACATGTAATAGAAGTACACGACATGTACACACTGTCAATGTAATACTCAATGTAATACTCTGCTGTGTATAACATAACCTTGACCTGTGTGTGTACTTGTAGGTGTTCTTGGAGCTCTGGTGCCTTGTTGTTTAGACCTGTCTTTAGCTCACCAGTTTGGCGAGTGTCTGTGGTTGCCGCTCTTACCCGGCTCCACCTTCGGCATGCGCGTTGGAATCCGCGAGCGGTACAAAATACGTGTAAGTGCACGCAGTATTGAACCTGCCGTGTTCTTGGTCTGCATCTTCTGCTTGTGTGCATTTTTATTTATTATTATGCTTTGCATGTGTGTCCACAGGGTAATGTGTGTGAGGACTGGACCACAGTGTACTGCTGTTACCCTCTGGCCCTGTGTCAGATGATGAGAGAGATGAAGAGGAGGATGAAGACTCAGTCCTATCATGTATCTACCGCCCTTAAGAGCTCCTGAGGAATCTCCAGACGATAAATGAGGCCTCTCCGTTTTACAATTCAACAGAGACTCCAACAGACCTGCTGAGATTTCTGGTATGAATAGCAAGAATCAATACAATGAGGTTTAAACTTACTTTTAAACGCCCCGGGGATGCCTACGACAATAAATCGATGCTCTCCAATCCACCTAAGCCTTGATTAATGGGGTAAACAATTACAGCTGTTGGTAAATTCTGCCTGAAACCAGTC